GGACAGACGCTATATTTACTGGCAGAGCTCACCTCTCTCACCTCCGGCTCCGGGGCTAAAACCTTCGTAAGCAGCTTCAGGCCAATCTCTCCATCCTGAGAAACATGCAATACAGATAAAACATTATACTGAAAATACTGAAGCATTGCAATATAATGCCAGGGTAGTCCAAAAAAACAAAACAGACACTGTAGGACGTGAAGGATGAATTAGGCAGTAACTTTATGCTGCCTTACAAGATCCTCGATTTGGACAAAGCCACAGTCGGTGTTGTTTAGGAATGACGGGTGAGTGTCTCACCAGGGTCTGAAAAGCCGAGTACTTCATGAGGTCGTTGTCCAGGTCTCTGTAGGTCATAACTCTGTTCACCTGGATACTGCAGACAAGAGAGATCCATAAACACGTGTCTGTCTTTGGCGTCTCAAAGACTATTTTATCCTCCTTTTAAATTGACCAGATGAAATTCTGAGACGCTTCAGCTCCTTCGATCCAATTAAGAATGAATTTAAACTCAGATTAAATATTATGAGAAACCTTAGTCATGAACACTGATTGTTAAACTCATTACTTATGAGGCACTTCAGCAGTTTGCACATATCCACACATTTTTGACAGATATGAGTGCACAGGCTTGTGTTAAGACATTCATTAAACATGTCTAGAGCAAATAAAAAACAAGGGGATCATCATCTTTTGGGGTCACTGGCACCAAAAAAACCCTCCAATTGTCATTTTACCTATGTGTTTAAACCTTAAGTAAATTTCATATATCCAGCAGGAATGTTAATGGAAAGAAAGTCTCTTTATTAAGTACCAAAGTGCCTTTTAAGCTAGCATATAGACAGCTTAATTAACTAAGTTTCTCAACAAGATCAAGCAGATCTTGAAGCATATGAGAGTTTGTTTTCTTGGATACCTTGGTGGAGCAGCGATCTGCATGGTGAGGTCTTCCTCTTGAACCTCCTCCAGGTCTGGAATCACTGGGATGTCTAGAAACTGCAGGTGAAATGTGTTAATCTTGCTAATAGTTCAATGAAAAATACAAGACATGTCATGTAATTACCTATAATA